ATTTTATATATATTTCAAAGAGGAATCGAGTGTTGTATCCTGCTCTGAAAGGATTTGGTCTAACATTCAACCAATTTGGGATTGAAAACATAAGGAATTTCTTCTGCCTGAGCAAAGGAGATCTAAGTGGCTGTAAATCCCGAAGCAGACGTGGGTGAAGAGTCTGACCCTGGGGTGCTTGCAAAGCAGAGGCATCTATGGCTAAGGGCAGAGTTGTCCATATCCCTGCCCAGATAGAAAAAAATTAGCAAAAGTCTGTGTTGGCTGTAAGGATTGCTCAGCAAGTCAGGGTTTGCAGGGCTGTTAAGAGGCGAGACTAACGCCCAGTTCATCAGCGTCTGCCAGGTTCGCCGCCGAGGGGATGAAACCTCCAAGAAGCCTGGGGGTCCCAGAGCCCCGACACGGGGGAGCGCCCGCCTGCTCTGCGCTCAGCAAGGGCTGCAGAGCCAGCCGCTGACCGACCACCGCGGGGATTGCATCACGGACCGGTTCTGTAATGACGGCTCTGCACGCTGTCATGGCCCCGTGTGTTAAGCTGTTAATGAGCAGGTTGGTTTCAGGTTAATCCTTTTCTTCCGTTCTGTATCAGGTGAGATACGGGATGGGGCGGGAGTGGAGAAAGAACAACAGGGGTGAAAAGATGAGAAATAACCCCAAATCTCCCAGTGCGCTATTCAGGCGCCTGAGTTTGAGCCTGAGTCTCCTGCATCTTGAAGTGAATTCCCCAACTCCAAGGCTATTTAGGAAAACAAACGATTTTTTCATAGAAGTTTCAGGTTCCACAACAATGTTAGTGACTAGCTGTCGTATCCCTGGCTAAGTGCGTCCGTGAGCAGCCTCTGCCAGCTTGAGAGCGTCTTGGGAGAAGCTTTTATGAATTCCTATTAAGTCAGACTGAGTGTTCAGACGATACCTGGTGGGTTTGGTTTATTTTGTAAACTGGCGGCCTCGAAACACTAGCCTGTGTGCTGGGCAAGCGCTGCGGCTTGTGGGTGTTGCGTGCTCTGGGCGCCTGGCCAGCAGCCGTGTCATTTGAGGAGCATATTAAGTGCCCATGTAATATTTATAGTGCTCTTATAAGAGATATTGAGGACGGGAGACAATCCAGCTTTGCAAAACCAGAAACCAACGAGGACATCATTGGTATCAGCACTGGCGATTGCTGGTGTACAGGGTGTGGGGTGGCACTGGCCTTCCTTTGTGCAAGAGGGGCCACCAGACGGGGACTTGGTAGCTGGTCACCGCGCACGTTATGTGACTTGGCTTCAGCCATCCTTTAACTTGGTTTTATTTTGAAGTTGCCAGGGAGCAGCAAGAGCAGAAACAAGTGCAATTTAATCTTCAGTATGACAAATTCGGGTATTGCATGGTTAGAAATGAGCAGGACACAGCGTCAGAATGGCCCGGACCTTTGCGCCAGATCAGTTATTAAAATGCCAGGACACCCAGTGAGGCGACCGGCTGGCCAAATGCAGATGAAACAGCCCAGGAATTGTGCTGGTGGTTATTTGCAGGTGTTGGTTGGAGGGGGGTTACACACAAGTAGGTGGTTTCTGGATTCTGTGTGCAAGCAGTTAGTCAGGCGCTGGCTGTTTCACGAGATAGCTGAAGCTTTAGAACCTGTCTCAGTGATGTAGAAATGCTGGAGGAGGCTGGGATCCCCTGTTACATGCCTTGTTCCTGTCCAAGACCACAGCCACCTGCAGCAGCGCAAATCACAACAACGTCGGGAGTTTCTCAAGAGCTGTAATTTAAATAAACTTTATGGAAAGTGGAGATCCCAATCTGGGAGATAATGTGCTAGTGCTCAAGGGTTAGGCTCCCTAACTCCTACATCCCGCTCCCGTCACGAGCACGGGGCGTTTCTTGGTCTGTCCTGTGAGCACGTGTAATCACAGACAGCAGAATGGTGATGAAGGGTTGCTGTGAAAATAACTGCTGCGTGGCTCTAGTTGGTGCTTGAAAACCGAGCCTGTGCTCCGTGCTGTTCCAGGGAAACTGCTTTCAGACATGGTTTTGGTGACCAGCATCAACAGAGTGAAGTTACGGAGACGTGGTTTCCAGCACTTGCTACGTTAACTCCTTTCCCTGACTTTTATAAAATATTTGCAGGGCGCTAGCAGCATGATCTCAGAAAGGGATTCGGAGACCACCTTTGATGAGGATTCCCAGCCGAATGATGAGGTGATGCCGTACAGTGACGATGAAACGGAGGATGAGTTGGACAGCCAGCAGCCTGTGGTCAAACAGGGACAAAACCAAATCAACAGAGATGCTGAGGAGGGCCGAGAGACGTTGAAAAAAGGTAATGTTATGGCAGAAACTTGATTTGGGGAGCAAATGATCCTGAATACAGAGGCTGAGTCACGCACAGATCAATTTGGGTTTTGTCCTTATTCGTTAGGGAGGATTTGGAATGGCTGATCCAAATCTGTGGAGGAGTGACTGATAGCAATTCCGTTTAACCAATGTCAGAACACAAATCAGCTTCATTCCAATCTACAGCCAGAGTTCTGTGCCGCTGCTTGTTGCGTAAAGCTAATGATCTGCATGCTGACCTTGTCTTAATTAAGGTGAGCTCTAGATGTACGCAGCCTATGGTCTGAGAACTGCTCCAGCACAACTTCACATACTTGTCTTCCCCATCACCTGGAACCTTGAACCAGCGTAAGCCCATTTGCTGTGTTCAGCCAGTTGGCTTGCATGGATTTCTGCTTTCTAAGTCTTGTGCAGATGATGTTTCGGCTTCAATGCTCATTTTGTAGTCTCGTTATTTTCTTTATTTGCAGTAGCTTCAGAATCACATAAAGGTAAAGCGAGCAGGAGTTCGGAGAAACCCGTCAAGTGCAGCCTGTGCTGCTGCCAGCGTAGGAACATAAATGCAGCATTTTTTTAGACATACCTGTTCTTAATCTCTGTCCAAGGAAAGTCTGTAACTCCCCTAAATAATTTTTTTCTTTTCAGTGTTGCAACGTGAGTGCATTTCATTTACCCACTGCCTGTTTAATGTGTGTAGTTTTCTTCCTGTTCTTCCTTCCCCCTCAACAAAGATGTTTTTTCCCTTTATGCTTCTTTAAATATGACGAATTACTGATGCAGCTTCCCAAATATTAGTTATTAATACCACCTTTGAAACAGTTTAATTTTGGGAAACTTCTTTCCTGCAGGTTTTCTGTAAAACTTAAATTGCCAGTTTTCCATCCGCGGTGCTAAGGTTTTATCAACACAGCAATGGTGAAGAAATGTTCCTGTAGACGTGTTTACAAATTTCTTCAATCCTGTCATTCATAACTTTCTCAATTCATGTACTTCAGTAATGCATGTCTGCTTTTAAACCAGAACCTGGTCCTCCAGTCATTTTTTTTTGTGAATTTTTTACGATCTTTGTAGCTTGCAGCCAACCTCCTGGAAATGGAAGTTGGATAGTCCCAGTAAAGACTGCGGCTCCCTCAAAGGAGAACTTGTTGTATGTGTCTGATGAAAAACAAAAAGGCTTTGTTGCCTGGATTTGGGCTTTTGAGACACGACTGCCTTGCCTGGGTCCCTGGCGGGGGGTGCCAGTCCCCACCCCACGCTTCCGCCCCAGGGAGTTCCACCCCATCCATGCTCTGGGATGCGCTTGGGTCACCAGCATCCCCTGAAACCACAAAGAGCGCCCATTAGGGACAGTTCCTGTGGGCTGGAGAAAAGGGGCTGATGAGTCAGAAAAGCTGGATTTCAAAATACTCTTGAGTGCCTCATCCTCCCCAGACAAGCAAAGCACTCCTGCCAGCCGGCTTAAAAACCTGCTGAATGAGTCCAGTGGAGTTTCCTTGATGTGGCAGAGCCTGAACGGGTGGGTGTGGGCGGCAGGGTGAATAGGGCTATCTGGGATGCAGGCTTGAGGGCAGGAGAGCCATCTGAAGGATCTTGGAGGGAAGGAGGTAGCCTGTGAAAGAGAGGGGATGTGGAAAATAACTTGACAGCTGGAGTCACTCTGGTGGCAAATAGCGGTTGGCCAAAAGCTACGTGCATCCTAGATCATAGAATCATGAAGGTTGGAGAAGACCTCAAGGATCATCAAGTCCAACTGTCAACCCAACCCCACCCAACCCACTAACCCATGTCCCTAAGCCCCACATCTCCACGTTTCTTGACCCCCTCCAGGGATGGTGACTCCACCACTGCCCTGGGCAGCCTGTTCCAATGCCTCATCACTCTTTCAGTGAAGAAATTTTTCCTAATATCCAGCCTAAACCTCCCTTGGCACAACTTAAGGCCATTTCCTCTTGTCCCATCACTTGTCACTCTAGAGAAGGTGGACCCCATTTGAAGGTGGACTTCATGGGACTTAGATTAACGATCTAGGTGGAGGTGAATGGTTTGTTACCAAGTCCTCTAGAATCCTTTTCTGTAGGGAGGCTGTATGCCACGTCAGGTTTTAAATGCCAAATACTGAAGGTGACAAATGGAGGTGAGATTGATCAGCTGCTCTGTAAGCAGTTTTATCAGCTTACAGCACAAAACTTCACCAGACTGTTGCAGGCATTGCTTGCTTAGTTTTGTTAAATTTTACTGCAAAATGCAGTTCATATTCCTGAGTTTTTGAGCAGTCAAACAAAACAGATGTCTGAAGAAATAAACTGAGCACTTCAAATTTTTACTTTTTTTATGGTTGTAAATTAAAACCATTGCCCCGTATGGTTCTATGAAATAATTTTTCATTTCTAGAAAGACTGAGAAACCATTTTTGGGTGCTTAGCACTTCACAAGCATGACAAAAGCAAACCAAAAGAGGGGAAAGAATGGAATTTGGCATGAATAAATGTTGCTCTGATAGGTTTTCAGTTTCTCATAGAACTTTGAAATTATTAATCACCACTTCTTCCTGCCTCAGATGATGTTTTAATTGTTAGTAAAGACAAATAGCCTGGAAACTTCTTGAAAACCTTTTTTTAGACTATGTACTAAAAAAGCAGGTACCAGTCTTGTTTCAACTGAAAGTATGTTTAAAAGATGGCATTTGAGAGAAAACCTGAAAACTGGCAGATTTGTTCCCTCGTGTTTACAACAATCAAGCGTTGACCCATCTTGCCTTGTCTCCCCAGACTGTAGCTGGCAAGTTAAAGCAAATGATCCACACTTCTACGAACAGCCCCAGTTTAAGAGAACAGTATTTCTGTGCTTTAAAAAAAGCAAATATGCGGTAAGTTGTCTTGATTTCAATTGTGTGCTAATAGGACTTGTCAAGGTGAATACTTTCTCAGTCTCAGAAAGATCTTTCCAACTACTGCTGATTAGTGTAAAAGCCACAGTTAACACGTGCTCAGGGTTCCCAGCAAAGGTGGGGTGGTATAACTGGTTTTGGGTTTGTGAATGGAAAGTCAAGGTATCAGAAGACTTCTGTAAGGTAAGATAGAGAATTAGAAGCCAGGTGTCCTCTGTGCAAATTCTGAGTTTTATCTGCTCAACAAGGGCTCTTGCAAGCACCCAGATAGGTGTCATCTTTTGTGGAAGAAGTCTCAGTGCAGTATTAAGCAATATCCTGATTAAGCTAGACTGGGACAGTCTTAAAAATAGACATTTGGGAATGTCTAGTCATTTAAAAAGTGTCATTCTAAGTCCACCTAATTACGATCAAGGAGACATTTTAATCTCATTTATCAAGACAAAAGGTTGAATTTTTTTTTCCCTGTTCCTAATTTTTTAACTTTTCAAAGTAATAAAGCCATGGTTTTTGTACATGGTGCTGGTTGCGAGGGACAGAGGCTGGGACTGCAAAGTTACGTGTGGACTGTCTGGCTTCATCTGTGCTGCATTGGCTCGTGTGGTCCCTCCTGAGATCTCTGCCTCACAGCCTGGAGGCAATTTGGGTTATCTCGTGCATGAGTATGAACGTTTAAAAGTAAAACTGCCACAACCGGAGCTATTCCGAGGCAAGTCCTTCATGCTGGGGTTAGGTAGAGACTGGCACTCATGAGCGGGATCTGACACCCTCCCTCCTGAATGAGGCTAATTAACAGTCCTGTGACGCCTGAGACCAATTATATCCCTAGGAGTGCTGTCATGTACTTAGCAAATAGTGTCAAAAGGTACTAGGGAGGAGATTGCCAAGGAGGAGCAGAGCACTGATGTTCCCTGCCCTGGCAGTGCCGCTGCGCTGTGCCATTGACCTGGGAGAGGCTGCAACCTTTCACCCCTGTGGCAGTGCCGTACCCCGTAGTCCTCAGTGTAGCTACTACAGCTTCTGGGGTATGTTAATGTTGGTGAAAGAGATCGTTCTTGCCCCGTCTCATTAAGACAGTGACCCGCGTTGAACTGTTGAGGAAAGGTACAACGGTAGCAAAGATCATAGGAAAGATTTCACTAGTAAAACACTTAAAAATATGTGTTGTATATTTGTAATGTAAGAAGAATATGCTGCTGTGACTGACATTTGGTTTTCTTCAACAGGGAAATGCAATAAAGACGTACAAGTACAATCCTATAACTTTTTTACCGCTGAATCTGCTTGAACAGTTTAAAAGAGCCGCCAACTTCTATTTCCTTGTTCTTCTCATTTTGCAGGTAAGAAAGACAGAGAGAGTACTAATTGTGAAGTGCATTTGAGGTGCTAATCTAGGACACAATTGGGTGCTATCCTATCAGGAAATTGCAGGGTACTTTGTAGGAACTGTATCTGAATGACCACAGAATCTAAGCACATATTAACAGAAATCCAGAAGGACCTACCCTAGCTTTGTCTTAGCCAGGATGAGCTAGTTGCAGAGTTCATTAATTTCCAGGGGAGAAGACGTTTCTTTTGGCTATGACTCTGTAAAACATGATGGCCTGAAGTTCCACCCATGAATTGGAAGCGCCAACAGAAAATATGAGCAACTGCGATAGTTAAAAAGCCACCGGTGCTGAGGTGGGGCAGCATGGTCAAACTCTCCCCAAGAGTTTGGATCATCTTCACAACGTGACTTAAAATTCTCTTTCTGATGGGTTGGTTCTCTTTCTTATGTTATAGTCAGATCACTGTTAAGTGTCTCTGAATGGAGCTTGGCTGATAATCCTGTATTGAACTGATTTTTATTTGTCTTTTGTAGTCAATTCCCCAGATAACCACCCTGGCATGGTATACGACACTGGTGCCCTTACTCTTGGTGCTGGGAATAACTGCAGTCAAAGACCTAGTGGATGACATTGTAAGAAACATTTTGTTAACACAAAAAGCGAGAGAAAACAGTGTAGCTCATTCCTTTAATTGCGATAAACAGTAGGGAGTACATTCTCTGCTCTTGGTTTTCAGGCTCGTCACAGGATGGACAACGAGGTTAATAACAGGACATGCGAAGTCATCAGGGATGGAAGGTTTGTACTGTTCCCTTCTGAACTTTGTAGGTAACATTCAGCGCCTTGTTAGTACGTTTCATCACAGATCTTAAATCACAGATGACAGGGAAAGTTCTGCTTTTTGTTCTCTACCATTCCACATGTCTGTGTGAAAAAACCTAATTGAAAATGGAAGAGAATTGCCCAAAGGAGTAATTTAAACTTAATTTGTTGGCACTAAATCTGTGCTAAGAGCACGTTATTTGGAGAGAAGGACAGAAATACCTATCTAGGTGAAGAGGGAAGAGAAGAGGTAGGTTGACTTCCAAGTTATAAACCCCCAACTAAATTGCAGTTTCCAAAAAGAAAAAAAGCACAACTTACCAAGATGTAATGGTTTTGTACTAAGGAAAGATCAATATTTCAAGATATATAGAGTGCATAGTGTTCTAGATGAAATAGTAATAATTATTAAACTATCTTGATATTAGGTTCAAAAACACAAAATGGAAAGATATTAAAGTTGGTGATGTCATTCGTCTGAAGAAAAATACTTTCGTTCCTGTAAGTGCTTTAGATGTATTTGTTTTCTTTTTCTACAGAGTTCTGTACAAACCTTGACTTGGATTTATTTGATGCTTATTTAGTTGTTTTTCTAGGCTGACATTTTGCTGCTATCCAGCTCTGAACCAACCAGTCTCTGCTATGTAGAGACAGCAGAACTAGATGGGTAAGGCTTTTATTTAAGGATTTATTGGATTTATTTTTGGCTTAGTGGTAAAAGAGCAAGAAGTGTGTATTTCAGACTTGTCCCTTGTTAAGCCACACTTGGAAAGTGTGTCCAGTTTTTTATTTCCACCATTCAAGGTTGATTAAACGTTGGTGAGGGTTCACTGGAGTGCCACAAAGGCGTCTGAAGAGTTGGAGAACATGACATACGAAGAAAGAGTGAAGGACTTGGATTTATTCCGCCTGGAGAAGAGAAGGATGATTTAATCAGTCTTCCAGGATCTCAAAGATGGTTACGGAGAAGACACTCTCTTCACAAGGATGCACATTGACAGGACAAGAAGCAATGGATGCAAGTTGTTCCAGAGGAAATTTTGTCTGCATCCAAGAGTAATTGTTCTGATGGTGGATGATTTTTTGCCACTGGAATAGGCTTCCCAGAGGAGCGATGGAATTTCTCTCCCTGAAATCAGTCAAGGCTGGTCTTGACAGGGCTCTGGATGGCCTCATCTAAGGTCCTCCTTCCAGCAGGAGGTTGGGCTGCTGTTACCAGAGGTGTCTTCCAATCTGGACTTTTCTATGATTTTCAACTTGTCTTCTTCCCTATCAATGGGAAAACTAAGATACATATTTTTCTGTGGAAGTTTTTCCTAGAAACTGCTCAGCCTAAATCTTACTGTCTCTGCCACGCTGCTTTGTAAATGTTGGTTTAGTTCATACTGTCAGAAAAGCTAGTGCTGAATTCCTTCAGAAAAGTCTGTAATGATGGAGATATCACCTCAGGAGGTGAAATGTTAGTTTTTCTGAATCTTACAAATGATAAGTTGTAACATCATGCAAAACAAGGATCTGTTTGTGTTGGGAAAGGCTCGTTCTCTGTGGGAGCTTTCGACAGTATCGGTTATTAAATACTGCTTTGAAATAAACGCTTCACGTCCATGCAAATGCACGGCTTCGCCATGGCTTCAAAGTAGGCGGCTGGGACCTACGGCGTATTGATTTGCTTAATTTTGTTCAACCGTCTTTCCTATATCCATGTTTTGAATAAAATGACCTTTTTATCCTTTCTTCTTAGTGAGACTAACTTAAAATTCAAGATGGCACTGGAGGTGACTCACAGATATCTTCAAGAAGAAAGCGCGATGGCAGACTTTAATGGTTCGTACTCATTCCTACGACTATTCAGATGTTGCTCAAACAGTTGACAGTGCAAGTAAATAAATCATGGGTGGGGACGGAAGTTCTTCCAATGGATTCTGGAGTCACAGGAGTAAGCAAGCTGCACAAAGGAAACTGTGCTGCTGAGCAAAACATTGTCTGAAGAGGAGACCTTTGCCAAGAACGAGCTACAGCACACCAAGCAGAGACGACGGGGCCCTTTAGGAGTGTTCACCTGCCTTTTCTTTTGAAAAAAAGTACATTTGCTCTTGGGATTGGATCTAGAAACTATCTTCTATTGTCCTTTTCGTATTTATCATAGTGATCTAGCTGCTTTCTGTGCATGTTGTGGAAGCCTGAGGGGCAGGAATCCCTTCTCTGTCTGAGATCTGACACAGTTTTATCTCAAGCTCACTCTTTTAGCAATCCTAAAATTGCAAGTGCTTAAAAAAAACCAAAAAACAAACAAACAAAAAAAAACAAACCACAAAACAACTTCAAGCAGAGTAATATGGAGAAGCAAGCAAGTAGGGACTGTTCCTGATTTCCTCCAGTATGAGAAGTGGGGAACATGAGGTGAAATGAGCAGGTGATAAATTCAAAATAAACAGAAGGGAGATGCTTTTTCACACAGTACATAGCTAAGCTAAAATCCACAGTTTGCACAAGGATGTTGTTGATGTGAAAATTGCTGAGTATTTGTACACCCTAAATTTCAAATAAATTGTTTATTCAGAACACTCATTTTCTCCATAAATTACTTGTATGGTGTATTTTTTTTTTAACAATGCATTTTTATTTAACTGTCATAGATTAAATGTATTCTCCTCCAAATTTTTTAGGTCTGATTGAATGTGAAGAACCTAATAACCGACTGGATAAGTTTGCAGGAACATTATCCTGGAGAAACATGAGTTATCCACTGGATGCTGATAAGATTTTGTTACGTGGATGTAAAATCAGGAATACAGAGTTCTGCCATGGAGTGGTCATATTTGCAGGTATGTGAGTTGAACACGTGTGATATTTACCAACTGAAAGGATGCCCTCTAGAGTAAAATGACATGTACAAGCACTGACTGTATTTTATGTCCCAGTTTTGTAAAACAGTAATACTAGCACTTGTATGTGTATCGTATCTTTTTTTTTTCTTTATTTTTAGGTGCTGATACAAAAATAATGAAAAATAGTGGAAAGACGAGATTTAAAAGGACAAAAATCGACTCCCTTATGAATTACATGGTTTATACTGTAAGCCTTTTTGATTCCAATTCAGGTGTTTGAGTTAATTTTTAAGTGAATAGAGTGGATGCAAATTTAGGAAACTTGTTTTTTTTTTTTTTCTTCTGTTGTAATAAGCATCTTTCCACTTTGTTTGGACCTGATGAAGTGGGATGAAGTAGGAGGGAATCTAAAAAGATGCCTTGCTGTCAGTGGAATCTGCAGCCCTAAACTGCAGGTGTAGGGCAGCCAGGACCTCCCCCAGGGGTCTGTTCAGCCTGAAAGGTTCAGCACCCCTGGTTTTTGTCCTGGTCAGCACCCCTGGGGTATGTGTGCGAGGAATTAATTCCCACTGTCCTGCAGCCTGCACTCTGCTGCTGAGCGTGATTCCTGGGGACAGGGAAATTTGGGGGAGAGGAGCTGGCCAGTATCTCGGCACAACTGTGGTTCTGCCTCTGCTCCTGGTGTGTTTGCCGTACCCTGTTCATTGCCTATATTTATGTATAAATATAAAAAAATTAAAACCTTGCTTGGGGAATAGGCTAAAATTAGAACCCAGATTATCTGAAGAGATCATTTTGTGGGAAAGGTTTGCTCCCCTTCTTACTTACGAACACATGTGATATTAGAGTTTGAAGATGAAGATTTGGGATTTATGTCAAACAAATGTTTCCGAAGTCTGACGGGCTTCTCTGTGCACACTGTAGATTTTTGTTGTCCTCATCCTGCTGTCGGCTGGCCTTGCCATTGGACACACGTACTGGGAGCAGCAGATTGGCAACTCCTCTTGGTACCTCTATGATGCAGAAGACTTCAGCCCTCCATATCGTGGCTTCCTTAACTTTTGGGGATATATCATTGTTCTGAACACCATGGTTCCCATTTCCCTCTACGTGAGGTAGGTAAAGACCTTGGCCTGTAATTGCTGAACTTGGGATGGGGTTGAATTATGTCATTGGGAATGACATAATGGGAAATGTCATTGTTCTGTCTTAAGCTCTTGGGCTATATGAGTGATTTGAGCCCTGGAAAATAGTCCCCTGGCTCTGATAACATTGCTATTTTGAAATATGAGATGCAGCTGGGAGTGAGGACGTTCATTTTGTTTCATTTAGCGTTGAAGTGATTCGTTTGGGCCAAAGCTATTTTATAAACTGGGACCTGCAAATGTATTACCCGGAGAAGGACACGGCTGCAAAGGCCAGAACCACCACGCTGAACGAGCAGCTGGGGCAGATCCACTACATCTTCTCCGATAAGACGGGAACGCTTACACAGAACATCATGACATTTAAAAAATGTTGCATAAATGGCCAAAGATACGGTGAGTCAGTGCCGTGCTGCTGCGCCCTGTAGTGAAAATCCTGGCTAGCACAGGAGCCCCGGTTTGTGGTGGGAGCAGAGAGGGAAGACCCTGCGAGTCCCCACGGACCAGTCTGTAAAAATGAGGGGGAATTTTAATGCTTGTTTGAAATAAGGTGCATGAGAGTCTTTTTAGTTTCAACTGAACTTCCACAATTGAGCCCTGGCATTGAGTAAAGCTCCAGTAAAATCCAGTTCTTGGGGTTTTCCCACTGTTTTCCCTTTTAAAAAGTGGAAACTGAAGGACTTGAGTGGAAAGTTCCCAGCAGAAAAGTCAGAAATGAGTAATTTACAGGATGGTTTACTTTTGGTTGAAACACTTCAGGGACAAAATTAATCTAGAAACAAATAAGAAAACTCAATAAGAACAGCAGTTTTTCCTTTTAGTGATAGTTTCTTCCATTTCCAGGCTTGTCTGGATTTCAGTATTTACAATATGCAGCATATGTGCTTCAAAACTATTGTTTGGTTGGTTCCGATAATGAAGAATGCAGCGTGATAACGTCATGTGCTTTTTACACATCCTGCCTCTGAAGAGGAGACATTCCGGACAGTGAGAGCTGTGTTAAGCCAATGTGGATGTTCTATGACAATTCCACCACGTGGTTTTTTTTCTTAGATTTGCTTTGGTGTCACTAGTGCTTACAAATGTACTGCAGCTGTGAATGAATTTGTTTGTTTTTTTTTGTTTTTTTTTGTTTTTTTTAAATCTGAGCTATTCTAGTGCAGTAGATATTCTACATATTTTTTAATTTTTTTTGTAAATGAGTTGTTGTAAAATCTTTGTTATTCTGTCCTGTGCCTTCTCACTGATGGCACTTGTGTTGCAGGAGACTGTCGGGATGGAGCAGGGCAGCTTCAGAGCCACCCAGAGGTAGGTCGGTACAATCTGGCGCTGAAGTCCCTCCAGCCTGTAGAACAGGGAATGTACCCTGGCCAAAGTATGAAGAGATGCTGGTAGGCACAAAGCAGTTGCACACAAGAGAACTCAAACTCTCTCTTCTTCTGTTTCCTAAGCAGCAAGTGGATTTCAGCTGGAACACGTACGCAGATGGAAAGTTCTCGTTCTATGACCGCTATCTGATAGAGCAAATAAAATCGGGAAAGGAGCCAGAAATTCATAAGTTCTTTTTTCTGCTTGCCATTTGTCACACAGTCATGGTTGACACTTCTGATGGTGAGTATGTTTGTTTGTGTTTTTTCTTGTGAAAATGTGACAGCAACGAAATGTAGAGGTGAATGGCTATTGAAGAATTCATGAATGTGAACAAGAGGGTTGGAAGACTCCATTAAAAGAGTGAAGAGCAATATTGCTTTGGTGTCATCTCTGAGAGATCTCTGTGAAACAGGCTGTCTCCTGTCTCTTCTTGCTCTGCCTACTGGTGTTTTTGGTGTCTGTGGCCAAGGATTTGTCTTGTGGAGCTTCCTTTAAAAATGCTTAAGTGAACGTACTGAGAAATTAGGATATGTTAAGAGGTCACAGGTATGGCCAATTTGATGGATTCCAGCTCCTTGCTCTTTGCCTATTAAAAAGTCACCATCCCTGGAGGAGGTCAAGAAACGTGTAATGTGGTGCTTAGGGACATGGGTTAGTGGGTTCGGTGGTGTTGGGTTGATGGTTGGACTTGATCATCCTTGAGTTCTTTTCCAACCTTCATGATTCTTTGATTCTGTGATTATGTCTGTTTTGAGACAGCAAAGTTAGTTTTTGCTTTTCTAGCTGGAGGGAGGAGGGTTCAGTGACTTATACCATTTGGAAAGTACATGTCATTTTTTAATCTGTGGTGTCTGAGTGCCCCTAACGCTCTTTTCCCTGTTCTGATGATGCAGGTCAGCTCAATTACCAAGCAGCATCCCCAGACGAAGGGGCCCTGGTGACGGCAGCCAGAAACTTTGGCTATGTCTTTCTTTCCCGGACACAAAACACCATCACTATAAGTGAAATGGGGACTGAAAGAACTTACGATGTCCTCGCAATCTTGGATTTCAACAGTGATAGAAAGCGCATGTCTGTCATTGGTAAGATGATTACAACCAGCCTTTGCAGAAAGGGTCCCGTGTGTATCATAGGTGAAAAGTTACGTGCAAGGGGAGCTGAAGTCAGGAAGCATGATGGTGGAATACACAGTCCCATGACTGAATCCGCACAGCTCTGCACAGCAAAAGGGAGGAATCAGAGATCTATTGTCTTTAAGGCTATAATTGTGGTTTTATGGTGTATCGTATCTCTAGCATATGTGTCTGCCCAGCTCCTACGGGCAAGTGAGATGTTAACACTATATGAACTTTTATCAAAAACATAATGCTTGGGAGTTTAAATATCCTCTCCTGACATGGAAGAGAAGAAGAAATGTGCTTGTCAACCAAGTTACTTAACTGAACCATATTAGACGTTATGAAGAAGAAACGTGATCTTGTCGTTTTGGTACTTGACAGCAGTAGACTGAAAAATCTAATCTGAAACTATTCCTTTCTTTACATGTACTCTAACATTTTGTCCATCCTTTCATATTTTCCTCCACAGTGAGAGAATCAGATGGAAGTATCAGGCTATATTGTAAAGGGGCTGATACGGTAATTTATGAACGGTTGCACCCAAAGAATCTAAAGAGAGAAGCTACACAAGAAGCACTAGATGTATGTTTTTTTATTTTATATGCTGTTTTTAAATTAGAAATTGTTTATTTCTGCCTATAATCTAATTTTATTAATTTCCCTTTCCTGAGCTTTTAAACCAAATCCAGACCTATAATTGGTTCTACAAGTCATCCCAAACCTGAGAAATAAAGCAATGGAGGTTTTCACACATGTTCTTAAAAATGCATTCATTGTCTTTTCATGAGAAGTGAACTTCAGTTTTGTCTCCATGCTTTTTTTTGCATTGTTATCAGTATTCCAGATCATTATACTATTTGTCACCTCTTCAAGTCTTTCAGTTCAGGCTGCCTTGTCAGCCGCAGTTACCTGGATTGAAATACCCTGACCTAACGGCATAGCCAGATTTGTTTTCTCAGCCTCACCAAATGCACATGATCTTAACTCTTACGTTTGGATTGCAAATGAAGAGTTTTGTTTTGTGGATGTGTTTTTTTAAAATTATTTTTCAGATTTTTGCAAATGAAACTCTGAGGACTCTCTGCCTGTGCTATAGAGACATCAGTCATGATGAATTTGAAGCATGGAATAAAAAGTTTGTGGAGGCTAGTGTTGCTAAAACTAATCGTGATGAAGCTTTGGACAAAGTATATGAGGAAATAGAAAAAAACTTGATTGTAAGTCAAGCTTTAACTTTTTAGTCTACTCCTTATATAAGAAGAAACAGATCTTGAAAGTGTTCCTTGTTCATTAGGACATTTTTATTTAGATCTTTTCAGTATTTTCTTGGCTTTAGAGCCATGCCAAATTTTAGAGTTTAACAGAATGAAGGGGAATATATTTCAGTGCAGTCACTTCTGTATGTAAGAGTTTGTTTTTACTCAATTCTTGGTTTGAGCTGTACCTTGGCCTGAAGACAGATCCATTATAGCTTAATTCTCCACTGAAAATGAATCCGTTTTCTGTACGTGTTTATACTACTAAATACCTGTGTTTCAAATATCTTCCAGCTGCTTGGTGCAACAGCTATTGAAGACAAACTACAGGATGGAGTTCCAGAAACTATTTCCAGACTTTCAAAAGCAGACATTAAAATCTGGGTGCTTACTGGTGACAAGAAAGGTGGGTTTACTTACAGCCGAGGAGCTCGTAACAACAGGATAAGAGCTACAACATCAACTGGGACAAATGCAGACTAGAAATCAAGCATATGTTATCTATTATTTTTTTTCCTGTTCATCCACACTGTGGTAATGAAATGGAACCTCTCATAGTGACTTCAGGTACTTCTGGCTGCTCCCAGCAGTTACCCATGACAGAACTTTAAGTAAATACTTTCCTATTTTTTATTGTAGAAACGGCTGAAAACATTGGATTTTCTTGTGAACTCTTAACAGATGAAACAAAAATCTGCTACGGTGAAGATATCAGGCAAGTGACAAGCACAAAGGAATTCTTTTGTGGGAATTAAATATGTTCGATTTTTAAAATTAACCCAGCAGTAGCATTGGTTTATCCCACAGCGACTCTTCAATGACTGAACAGTATTTCTTGGCAGTTGCTCAGCTGTATGTTGTGTGTTTCTTTGCTTTTTTTATGGAGTTGTAATTTTACAAGACAGCCTCCTTATTGTAAGTAAAGGTGGTGATATCCTTTTTGCAGGAGGTTATATGTTGTAGGCCAATGACCGTTGACATTAAATTTGTCCTGTAGTTCAGCCAAGCTGTCTTGGTGTCAGGACCACCA